GGGAGGGTAGGGAAGGATAAGGGCGGGGAAGAAGAAAAGGGGGTATTATGATTAGCATGTATGATGGGGGGGGTAGGGGAAAGGGGAGGGCTGTGCAACACAGAGAAGACAAGTAGAGTCTATAACATCTTACAGTGCTGATGGACAGTGACTGTAATGGGGTATGTGGGGAGGGGGACTAGGAGAAGGGAGCCTAGTAAACATAATGTTCTTCATGTAATTGTAGGTTAATGATAACCACCACAACAAAAATCCTTAGGAGTCTGAAAAGATCATCAAATCCATATTTCAAAACACATATTGATTTCTGCAGGCCAGTTTATGTATTCTTGATTTTATATACAATTGATTAGATGATTTCTATGCCATCTACATACTGTTAAGTGCAAATTCATTGGCAACACAAGAGAAATTGGAAGATCAGTGGCAGAAAAAAACAGGCAGAAGAGGTAAAAAAAAAAAAGATCATCCAAAACCTCTGGGGTATTGAAACCAATAGCCCTTTTAGTATTGAGGGAATCACTGTTACAGCATGGGAATGTATTGACGCTAAAAAAAAAAAACCCAAACAAATATATTGTATTTAAGGTGATATGTTTTATATAGTTTTACAATTTTAAGTTTTTATATTAAAAGTGGTTGAAATAAAAATATTTCACATTTAAAATGATAAACTATGACTTCTAGAAAATATTAGTGTACATAATGTTAAGTGAAGTTCTTTGTGGCTAAGGTTTTACTGTAACAAGTGGACAATCCCCTCAGTCCCCTTAATCCAAAACGAAAAATTTCTGTGTTCCACCCTTAAATAGCTGTTCTGATATGCTGTAACAGGCGGTTTTCTTTTCTTCCTTAACAATTTTCTTTTTTCAAAAAGATAATTTCAGTGAAATCCTTTGGGAGTTTTCTTTATTTTAAAACTTTGTCTATATTCAGTCTGTACAAAAGAACTTCTGTAATACATTAAGTTATAAAGAATACCAAATGAAATGAACACCTGAGAAACTACTACCCATTTCTTTATAAGGGAACATTGCCAGCATCTTGAAGCCTTCTCCTTTCCTTTTCCTTTCTGAGTTAAATCACTATCCTAAATTTTGCGTTCATCTCTTTTGCTTGTTTTACTGTATATGTATATAAAAAAAACATTTAAGTGGTTTGCTCTTGAAATTTATATAATGGTAAACTATATGTATTGTTTTGTAACTAGCTCCTTGTGTTCACTCAGTTTCTAAGCACCTGTATGTTGATATGTCTAGCTGTTCGGTATTTTATGAAATATCATCAAAGTATTTTGAGCCTTTGATTACTTAAAATTTCTTCATTGGGCTTTCAGATTATAGAAGTAATTTATGCTAGTAATTGAAAATTCAAATATCAGAACTAGAAAGGCAAGGCCCTCATACTCTGATATATTTACTCAGAGTCATATCAACAGGTGACTGTTTCTCTGAATGTGCTATCTTCCCATTCTTTAAAACCTTTTCCAACTGCAGAGCGACTGTGCTGCCTTTCAAAGTAGAGGACAGTAGTCTACTTTGTATTCTCTGTGAATAGTGCCCCCTAGAGTTTTGCACCATCACAGTTTTAACAGTATTTCTTGGAAATACAGAATATTGTAGGTCTGTAGATTGTAGATTTGTTATCTTGTAGATGTACTGTAACTTAGCCAGTATTCTGTTGATACACATTTCCATTATCTATATAAAAATGCATTTTTATTATTTAATCACAAGTGTTTTAGGGTATAGCATGTGTTGGGCACTATTCTTGCAGTCTTTCAGACATTGCTCCTGTGAGGATTTTTGCATATGTGTTTCTGAATACTTCTCTGCATATTTATGAAATACAAATGCATAGCTGTTAAGTTGTTGGGTCAAAGAGTATGAGTATTTAATATTTTAATACTCAATTTTTGGAGGGAATTATCGGCAGTTGCTTCAAAAGCATTGTGAAATATATACTCCAGTAGTGTATGAATGTATTTTTTTCCCCTTATCAATATTTTATTATTGTTCTTTTAATATTTAGTGATCTAAAAGGTGAAAAATTAATGGGGGGTCAACATCTTTTCGTATTCTTAAATTCCTGAATATTAGGAAATACTCATTGGGCCTCTGAATACAATTAAACAAGTTTAAAGTGATAATGTACATTAATGTAAACCATTAAAATAGAATCTCCCTTTAAAATAATTTGAATAAATTCAGATGCTTTATGCATCATTTCTATTAACTCAGTTAATAAGTTATAATGAGGATTGAATTTGGATATAGTTATGTAGTCTGTGTAGACGTTGGAAGTATGGGGTGAGCTTTAGGAATTTGTTATGTAGTTGGGGAGATAATGTTAACATGACAGAAGAGTAGCAGTCAGGTATATATGCCTGTATGATGAAGCAGTAAGAATTGTCTATCTAAAGCTCAAATATTGTATTGCCTTAATGAATGGGGATGTTGATTAGGAATGAGACTTAAGGGAACTTTGGGAGATGAATTTGCCTACTTTGAATAGATGGAGTTTATAAGAGAGGAAACATCAAGAAAGGGGAGAAGAGTAGTTACAGGAATAGAAATAAAAGTGGCATAATCATGAGACCTGACAGTAAAGAAACTGCTCTAAATAGAGTAAACCTTGCAGGGGAGACATTGGAAATGTAAGTGTGCTAGGAAAGAGGCCATTGTTAGGAGGCTCTTAGAGATAGAGGCGTTTAAAGAGGTTCATTCAGAGCTAAGACACTGCTGAGCATATTTGAGTAGAGAAATGGTGATGAAAGTGGTGGTCGTGATGACCAGCTCTGCACTTATGTTCTGAAGGGATAGTGGCAGAGAAGAAGGGCTGTTAATTCATTTATACAAAACAATAGGTTTTTGAGTGGGATGGTGGTGGTGAAATGGAGAGGAAGCAGCTGATAAGAAAAATTTAGAAAATAGGACTTAATGACTAGCTGAATATAGAGGATGAAGAAGAGGATGGAGATAAAGGAAATAAGTGATGTCTAGTGATTGGAACATTGGTACCTATTCTCCTCTTTCAAAATTCTGAATGATTTTTGCCTTCCCCAAATGATCATTGCAGCTGTTAATATAGGAAAAAACAATGTTATTATTAAATATCACCGATGAGTGTTAATATAGTGATGCTTTTTTGTAGATGAAATTCTTTGAAATTATTTGCTACATTCTCTGTAAATCTTGTTAAATTAGAAAAATTTCATGTACATATAGAAGGATCATCATTTAAAAAATGTTCACATAAAGCAATTTTCAGTGTTAAGTTTCTGTAAACAATTGAATATTGGAATATAAAATTACTTAGTCACGTGTATTACTTATTCTGTGTGCCTCTTGGTTCCAATGGGTTAAGAAACAAGTTATCAAAAATAAGCTAGTCTGATAATATAGAACAGAATTTATATTTATTCTATTAAAACTATATGAGAATATTAGTTCTTTGTGTATTTTCATTTATACATGTTCCGGAGTTGTCCCCATCCTTTATTTTTAATGCAGCGGTACAATGGGAAAAGGAATAAAATAAGAGTGTTCTTCGGCCATGATGATACAGTTAGCTGATGGGTGATGAGGAACCAAATAGCTCAAGGAAGAGATCTTAGATAATGCAGTGTAATCAACTCATTTATTCATTGTCACTTTATGAATTATTTTATTAATAATTAGCTAGATTGAGGCATGATAATCCACAAAGCTGCCTTTAAAACCTCTTGGTTTATCTTTTCCCTGAGGGGGCCATTTTATAAGCTCCTGGTAACTAAGTGCTCATGGATGAGAAGCATTCTTGACCAAATATAAACCAGTTTATCAAAAGGTAACAGTATAATACTTCATAGGGTGAATGACTCTTGGTTCCAATGTTTTAAAAAACAAGTTATCAAAAATAAGCTAGTTTCATATTTTACTAAAAATACTTAACCATTTCTTAGGCATATCAAAATATTTTCTACCTAAATATTGTACCAGGAAAAAGTCATTATCATTAAATCATTGGCAAAATGCATCTCTTGAACTGCTGTGTATCTTTCTTTTTTTTTTTCCCTGAAATTTTGCTCTCTTAAAAAAGCAGACTTTTGATTAGAATTTCTGGAACTGAAAATACATATACATATCATATAGTGCCTCACTGTTTTCAGAATGCTTTCATGTGTACTGCATTCGATCCACAAAGCAGCCTTTAAAAGGCAGATGAGCAAAGTGTTAAACCATTTTAATTGAGCAGTAAAAGACTTAGAGATAGTACATGAATTTTTAAATTGCTTGGATAGTAACTGGTAGGGCTTAGACTAAGATGCAGGAATATTCTGGTCCACTTATGCCAACATTCATAAACTGGGAGTGGTCATAAGTATTATGTCATAAAGGCAGGCCTCATCAATTAATAATTATAAATGAAACTGAACATATAACTTGGAATTTATAAGATCATGCTAAAATTACTTAATGAAATTTTGGCATAGTTTCACTTACTATTGCTGTAATACATTGTGTAATACATTGGTGTAAAACAATCTTATGTTCATGGATTTCCTGTATTAAGAATCTGGAGGAACAATGTGTGCTCATCTCTACCCCTGTATTAAGAATCTGGAAGAACAATGTGTGTGCTCATCTCTACCCCAGGATGTCTAGGATCTTAGCCGAGAAGACTTAACAGCTAGTGGTAGCTCAGATGGCTAGAAGCTGGAGTCACCTAGAGGCATCTTCACTCACATGTCTAGCAGCTATATACTATCTATTGATTTGGACTCAGCTTGTCTGTTGGCGGGTCTACTTTTTCATCTGGTTTACTTTGACTTTATTTATAGCATGAGAGCTGGGTTCCAAAAGTGAGTGTCCTCAGAGAGCAAGGAAGAAGTGCATGGCACTTTTTTTTTTACTTTTTAAAAATTTAATTGATTTATTTGAAGCAAAATAAATGCTGTGTGAGGATGTGAGGAACACAAAAAGAAACACACCAGGGATATCTGACCAGGGATATTTTCCTTTTTAAAAATAAATTACAAATACTTTTTCCATTTATTAAAGTTCACTGAAGAATTTACAAAATTTTTTAATGTTCTTCATTCTTCAGGAATTATTCATTCACAGAGCAGACCACCATTTCATATCTTAAATCCCAGGGCTCTCATGCACTCCTTGTGGGCCTCAATTAGGTGTCCACAGTGTTCTTCTCCTTTTTCGATGATACACGCATCGCGCGCCTTCTTGGTCTCCGGGCAGGCACAGCAGGGCTTCAGAGGCTTCTTCTGCGACTCAGAAGGCGCAGGGCTTGCGGCCACCAGACCCGACATCTCACGTGCCGAAAGCAGCCACTGCATGGCACTTTTTTAATGATCTGATCCTGAGAGTTGTATAGCATCTGTTAAACCATACACTGTTGGTTGAAGCAGTCACAAAGAACCTTTCATGTTCAAAGGGAGGGTATTATAAACCACACAACTTATTTGGAAGAGTGTCCATCGTTACATTATAAGAAGAGCATGATCGGAAATGTAGCAGTCTTTGAAAAATAGAATCTGTATTATGAAGAAATGTTGAAAAAACGATTATTGAGTAAAGAGTCCTATTTGATTCATGTCTCTGAGTCATGTCCTTTTCCTTTTCATCTGCTGCTGTTAAAAGCATTCATGGGATTTGTACAGAATTGATTTTCTGAACCCAAGTTGGAGAAACTAATGGGGAAAAAATAAACTGCAAAACCTTCATGTTCTAATTTTATGTCCTGCCATTCTTTCTCCTGATCTGTTACAGTGATAGGGTAGTTAATAGACTTACCTCATGGCAAGTTTAGAGTGCTTTTAGCTGCTGTTCTGTCATAAATTTGTTGTGCCTAAAAACTGTCGGTAGGTATTAATACAGATTAGATTCATTTTAACATATACACTATTTTTTGTTGCTGTGAGTGCCTGGAATTCAGTTATGGTACATAGTGATTAAGTAGATGTGTTTTTTCTTAGAAATAGAGTATTTCCTTGGTATTACATTTTGGATTGAAAACCTGATAAAGGCACAACAAAGATAGGTCTATTATGATATAAACTACCAACATTGCAGTTGTATATAAATCTATAAATTGTGCATTAATGTTAGCATATACTGACTATGGAAGCATTCAGTTTTAATGAAATATTCATGGTTTATGGGTACTTTTTGGTATAGGTTGATGCCAGGCATCCAGACAGGGACTCAAATACTGGCATTTATGCTGGTGAGTTCACCAAAGGTGTTGTGCCCAGCTTTGCAGATTTAGATATCTGACATTTTTGGTGCATTAAGTGTATCTGTTTCTAAGGAGATTTGTGCTAATCAAATGTATCAGAATGAAGCAAGAATCACAGTTGTAAAGCAGAACAAATTTCATTTTTCTATCTTGGTTGCTCTTGTATCTTTTACCTCTACCTACGTTATCTTGTCTTTCCCTGCCATTACTTTTGCTTTAAACAGTTACCTTTTTAAGGAAATTCTAAGAAAAAACAGCATATTATTTTATTATTTGTGATAGTTTCATTCCTGAAAATTTGATTTTGAATTTGATAACTTTTTTTATCTTGATAATTGCCTTTTTCCTTGTAGTGTATGTCTGCTTTTAATAAAATTCTCATCTTCTAACTAAAAGTCATTATTTCAACCTGTTTTTGAAAGGTATTGAATTTGCAGTTGTCAGTTTTTTCTTTCACCACTTAAAGATGACTTCTGGCTTACATTGCTTCTGATGAGAAGTCAGCATTTATTCATTTTGTTGTTCCCTTTGTATGCAGTGTTTCTTTTTTTCTCTTACTGCTTTCAAGACTATAATCATGGTTTTCAGTAGTTTGATTTTGACATGGTTAGTTTGTTTTCTTTGTATTTATTTTACTTGGGGTTTGATCTGTAAGGGCTTTTTCCTTCCATCAAGGTTATGAAATTGTCTTCCATTATTTCTGCAAGCTTTTTTTTCCTAATGTCCCATTTTATCTTCTTTTGGGACTCCATTTGTACCTATGTTAGGTCTTACGAGGTTTCAGACTGGAGAGATTGGTTGCTCATACTATTAACTAAGATTGAAAATCCAGTGTGTTCACTTCTAATCTCAAAATACAGATTACTGAATTTGCAGTTACGGTAATTGGTGAACTTTGCCATGGATAGAGAGTGAAAAGTAAAAATCTGCATAAGAAAAGCAGTTGAAGAATGAACGGAAATTGAAGAAATGGAGAGACAGACTACTGTAGTTACGTCTTTCTGTTTTATGCCCCATAGTATGTTTATGACTTACAGTTTTGTTTCATTTTTAGGCCTTCATCATTAATAGCATCCCTCTATCTTTTCCTTTTTTAAATATTCTGGAAAAATAGAGCTACTTTATTATATAATTTCTAGGTAAGCATACTGACTACAATAAACTGGCTGTGCTTAAAGAAGAGAGTTTTACCCAAGTTAATATTATTCTTGATTTGGTGTGACTTACTTGTGAATTGAAGGCTTCTGACACTGGATATTCAACTGACATCTTGTTTATATATCTTCATACATCAGGAAAATTGTGGTCAGTGACATGAGCCATTTTTCCTTTCCTTGCATGTTACAGCTGCAGTACTTGTTAGGAAGCAGAAGACTTGAGCTTCTATATTAGCTTTTGTTTTGTTTTAATGAACACTAGAACATCATTGAATAATGCCTTAGTATAAATCTGTTAAAGTTCTTTGTGAGGTAAATACAGTTTGATTTTTAAAGGATGATTTCATTAGCTACTCTTAAATAGATAATCTTTTGTATGCAAATAATTACCTACCTCAATAACTATCAGTAGTTTTAAAGTTTAAAATTTTCTCTTATGATTAATCTCTATAATTGAATATAAAGTATTAAAAACAAAACACAATGAAGAAAGAAACAAAACAAAAAACCAGACACCTGAATTTTGGATAGCATTCTGGGGGGAGTTTCTGACTTTTTCAGATTTTCATTAGATGATACTATAGTCAAGGATGAAATGGAGTTTTGAAGGGTTAAGTTATATTTTGACTATATTATAATTAGGGTGTTAGAATATACAATGATAATTGCCTAAAATTGAACCTGCTGTACAGTAACTTTACCTTCATGATTCCAAGATGAGTGCAGTTTAGTACTTACTACTTTATTTTGCAGTATTTTGACTACAGACAAATTCCAAATTTGGCATTCTTTTTTAACAGAAGTGCCTGGTTATTGCAGGTGCTTATATCCTTAGATTTGTTATTGGAATATTATCTTTCTTTTTGTTTTTTTTCTCCCCAGTTCAAAGCAGTATTCAACGATTTCAAGAGAAGTTTTTTATTTTTGCTCTGACACCTCAACAAGTTAGAGAGATATGCATATCCAGGTAAGAGGAATGTTTGGAATATATTTCTTTATGAATGTTGATGTGTTAGTCTGCCAGGGCTGCCATAAGTAAGTACTGCAGATTGGGTGGCTTATGTATCAAATTATTTCCTTCTTTTTCATGAGGCTTAAAGCCCAAGATAAAGGTGTCAGCAGATTTGGTTTCTCCTGGCCTCTCTCATTGGCTTGCAGACAGTTGTCTTCTTCCTATTTATACACACATAGCTTTCCTCTCTGTGTCTGTGCATCCCTGGTGTCTCTTCCTATTCTTAGAAGGACACCAGTCATATTGGATTAGGGTCCCATCCTTATGACTTCATTTAACCTTAATTATCTTTTTAAAGTCCCCATCTCCACATACAGTCACATTGGGGGTTAGGGCTCCAACATGAATTTTTAGGGACCACAATTCAGTCCATAGCAGTTGCAGTTAGACTGTTTCTCCTTAAGTAAGCATAATACACTTTGAGATTTGCCAAATATTTATAAATACTTTGTATTAGAAAACAGTTTTAACTTTTGACTAAAACTCGAGAGTATCTTTTGAATTACTTACTGTCACATTTAGTGGTGACTTTTTTAGTGAAAATCTTATCCCCAATACAACAACATAAAAAAGAATTTGTAGCAGCCCAAAGATAAGATAACCATAAACTTTATCATCCGATCTGAAGCATTTGTAGAGTGAAAGTAGGCACTATTAATCATTTTTCTGGGATAAGAACAAAAACTGAGACCTTTCTGAGCTTTGTGGTCACTTGGACTGTAAAATGAGTAGAAATCTGAGAAGTATTCTTAGCTTTGCCATTTGCGAATTAACTAAGATGTAAGAGGAAAGAAAAGGAAATCTGTAGTGTAAACTTTTCCAAATAAAAATAAAGTCCTCTTTAGTGTTAATATATTCTTTATGACTCTTCAAATTACATTCTTAAAGATGTAGCACAATAAAACTGAGGCTCCAGGACTGCATTGTCAATCTCCAGAGATGATGGGTCCAAATTTATGGATGTCCCATCTCTTTTAACTCCCTAACATCTGGAAGATGCACTGTTTTTCTGTGAAAGAGTCTGGGACACAGCTTTAGATTGTTTTGCTAATCTCATCACTTGTATTAGTCATAATACAGAGGGAGTGCTCTCAGCAAAACCTCAGAATGATTCAATAATCTGACCCTGTGAAGTTTGAACTCCCAAAGGGTAAGCTTGTAGATAGACTTGTTCTCTGACAAAGGGGAAAAAATACAATGCTGAAAAATAAGATTTAAAAAAAAAGTGTACAAGGATTAGTCCAAAAGGTACAATATCCAAAGGATAGAGTTTCCAGGAAAAAATAGAGAAAATTTAGAGGAAGATATTACTGAAGAACTAAAATGAATGTAGCTTGGTGTTCATGTCCACCAGGGGCAAGACATTGCAGTGAGTTTTTGTAAGTTGGAGGTACTTTCAGTCATGGGGATAGTAATGAACCAACTAACGAATTTATAAATACAGTATATTAAAAATTATATTTTATATCCAAAATTATATCATTCATCTTAAGTTTTGTTTGTTATTCAGTGATGATTCCTTGCTTGAGATGTTTAGTAAGTGTTCACTAGGTACAAAGCACTGTTATATGACATGACCTCTTTCTGCAAGTTATATGTGGTCTTGTTATTGAACCAGCTCATATATATGAAGTGATCTTAGCATTGCAAGGTGTCGTGGAAAGAGCCAATTCAGTAATAACAAGTAAGAGCTGGTTATAGGAGAAGGTTACTTTTAACCTTAGAAGTCTGGGAAAGCTTCACTAGGGTAGGTCTGCCTTTGAAGAAAGGAGATTACTTAGACTGTAAGTGGATTTGAAGATACTAATTCAAGATACATTTTTAAGTGAACAAAAGCAAACACGGATTTTTGGATAATGTACTACCAGTTCCCTTAAGAAGGTGAATGAGAGAGATAGTGTATGTGTGTAACTTGCTTAATTTCATAACATATCAAGATAGATATTATCAAGCTGCTTCTTGAGAAGGGAATTGGATGACTGGGGTCAGAGTGGGGGAATCTTTTCACTTTATATCCTTTCTGTATCTTTTTGAACTTTGAACTATGTGAATGATTTAGCCAAAAAAATGAATGGCTAAAATTGAAATTATTTTCATTGAAAAAATTTTCATTATGTTCTGGAGATGGATGGTGGTGATGGTTGCAGAGCATTATGATGGTATTTAATGCCACAGGACTATACACTTAAAATTTGTCATGTTAACTATTTTTGTCTTATATTTAATCATAAAAAAATAACCATGAAAGTAAGGCTATTGCAATCCTCCTTCCAAAGAAAACAAAATAAATCACATACACATGTACATACAAACCCCAGCTTTTTCAGAGTTGTATAATTAAATTGTAAAAAATCTGCTTTTTCTTACTAAGTATAAGCAAAATTTGGTACCCATACCTAGCTTCAATAACCATCAATATTTTCGCAGTCTATGTGTGATACCCCCCCACCCCAACTCTTTCCCCTGAAGTATTTTAAAGCAAATAACAGGTATCATATAATTTCACCCAGAAATACCTAAAAAATGCATCTCTTAATTAATTTTTAACATAATCATGCTAACAGTTTTATAATTCCTTAATGTAAAACAATGTAATTATTCAGTTTCTCAGTTCAGTATTAAAATATGGCCCATGTATTACTTTGACTTTTATGTCTCCCAAGATCTTTTCAAAAACTTTTTAATTTGATGTAATTATACATTTAGAGAAAAGTAAAAAATGGTAGGTAGACTCTTCATGTATCTTCTGTCACTATTAACATCTTGCTAACTATAAAGTGGTTGTAAAATACAAGAAATTAGCCTCTGTACAATATTATTAACTAAGCTACAGACTTTTTTTAGATTTTGCCAGTTTTTCTGCTTAATGAACTTCTGTTCCTGGATCCAGTCCAAGATCCTAAATCACATTTAATTGTTACATCATTTTCAGTCTTTTTCAGTCTGTGA